GTTGGAGTCCTGGCTTTCCCATTGGCCAGCTACATGAACTTGAGCAAGTCTCTTCATTGGTCTACACATCAGTTTCCTCATCTGTAAATTGGGGACAGGTAAAACAAGTAGAACAGTGTTGGGCACCTACTGGCTGCTCAAGAATAGTTAAGTTCTTAGTAACTTATTTTTTCTTATAAGTAAGTTCTTACTTTATTATATTACTTTATTATTACATATGCTTCTCAAGTTGAGATCTGCCTAGACCTATCCTGAAAGGATCAGAGCTTTGTGTTGTTTTTAAGTAATGATGGAAGCTCTATTTCTGATCATAGCAAACTAGCTTTTTTTGAACTAGCATCTGCTGATAGAAATTCTGAACTCTGGATGAAAGAATATTATAATTGTCAACAATCGTAAGATTGGGTTTCAAATATTGTTAAAGCCCTGGAACTAACAAAAGGAGGCAGAAAAAGGAGGGAACATGATGACCGAACTTGATGAGTTCCAAATTCATACAACCTTTTTCTCTGAAAGCATTCTCATCTTGCAAGGTATGTAACCTCACCAGGGAGAAGTTGACTGGCTAGATTGAGGATTCAGAAGCCGAAGTTTGAGGTTCTAGGCAACTGGAAATTAAGATGGACTAGCTCATAAAAGAGGGAACCACAGAATGAGGGGGTCCCAAAATCTGTGCACAAGAGCCCCTCAAATTGTCTAGACATGTGATCAGACTTGGGAGAAAGATAAAACTATGCTCTCACAAAGATCTCTACAGGCTGAGAACCCCAAGGAGCAGTTTCATTCCATCCCACTGGGTCACTATGAATCGGGATTGATTCAATGGCAGTGGGGTGGTTGATTGGTTATCTAGCCTCCAAATAACCCAGGTGATTCTTCAGAATCTTACTTGTCTGGTGGAGTAAAACTCAAAAATTTCTCAAAGGAAAATAACATATCCACACACATTGCACAGTGTATATAAAAAAAATTACTATCTGTATAAAACAAAACCTAAAAAAATGATACCCACAATCAAGGGAAAGAATAGTCTAAATAAACAGATCCACAGAAGTCTGAGATCATAGAATTAACAGATAATGATTTTAAATGACTATGGTATACATGAATATATATACTGTGAAAGACTAATATATTATGTAAAACTCTAGAGACTATCAGGAAACCTGAAAGGAACCATATGGAAACTCTAGAACTGAAACCTATAAAATCTGAAATTTTAAAAGGCATTGGACAGACCTAACTGAAAATTAGGCACTGCAGAGGAAAGAATCAGTAAACTTAGAAACAAATCAACAGTAAACTGAAGCATAAAGAGATATATGAAAAACAAAGAGAGAGATATGTTATTTTAATTGCAGAACTGTAATGGCAATGTAGCAACATAATGCATTTTAACAAATGTGGAACTGAAGTCCCCCAAAAAAACGCAAGGGAGAATGGGGGAGGGGGATACATATATTTTTAATGATCAAATTTTATTAAAAACTTTAAGCTTCAAATTTAGGAATCTCACTGAACCCAAATGTGATAAATAAAAAGAAAGGTGTACCCAGGGAAATTATAGTAAAATTTCTGAAAATTAAAAATAGGGATGAGTTAGTTTATTGCACCAACCTGGCCAATAAACACATGTGGGGTTAATTGAAAGGTGGAGGGATAAATGGCTCAGTGAGCCTCACCTTTCTAGTT